AAAACGCGTGAAACCAATGAATATATTACGCCTCTTCCTAAGGAAGACAATGGCAACGCTGCCACTTTCGAGCATCTCATAACAACTTAGTCGTGCATATTGGCCATCTTATATCACGCTCTCGTATTCTCCGCCCCATTTTGGATTTCATTACTACTTGTTATTCTTCCAGAATGCTAGTCCTTTTGCTGGATACCATTACATGCAAAAAATTTACTTGTCAAACTCAATGTAGACAAGCAAGCACATCAAGAGGCACTAGCTTCTACCGATTGTTTCAATGCATCATGATACGCGAATTGGTCGAAGAAGAACAGTCATCTCGACCCAACTTCCAAGGTCAATACTCATAGTTAATAGTGAGCACCTAATTTCAACATCAATCGCACGGAGGAGCTCCTAATCTAACCCCTTTTCCCTAGATACATACCGGTATATTACAACCACAAATAAATGATGAGGCTGGTTTGTTTGAGGGGATTGTAAAATTGTTTGGGTGTAATGGAAATTAGAACAGAAACTATCTACCTATACTCTACTTGATGTGTTGAAGGATCTCTGATCTCGAGGCTCGTTGTAGAGGATATGATGTGCGAATACTATGGAGGTATTGATATAAGAATGTACTACGCGAGGACATATTCTCGAAACCACCAAGGGATGCATCTATGAGCCGTCTTCTACCCTTGGATGCTAGGTATCAATGAACCATATATATGATCCTTATGTTTGACACACAAAGAGAGAACTTGTACTGCTAGAGTCTTTGTCTACCTAAAAAGAAAAGGGGATGCGCGAACTCAAATCGGACTTAAATATCCGAAAGGCTTTGCACCAATAATTACCGGTACAAATACTGAATTTCGGGTACTTTTCGTCATGTTTTGTAAGCAGGAATTTTAGCTACCCCGCTATCGTCATTGGGCGGCCCCACCGCATCACAATATAAACATCAAAATGCCCCTTGGCATTGATCTTCCTCCAAGACAATTTTGTTCTCATTCCAGAATATATCCCCAGTTATTTAAATCGCACAATGCCTGAAACTATGCGAGCAGTTGGTATGTACTTTTTAATTCAATGCGCTGGAAACTGAAGCTCTTATTCTTGGCGTTTCCACCAGCTACACGCAATTGCGCACCAGTGAGAGCACTATTAGCTAACATAACTCCTCAGATATCAAAGATGGCAAAGGCCATGCTGATGCCCTTTTCATAAATGATTCGACTCCCAAGCCTACCGCTCAATCGGGCGAAGCTATCGTCAAAGTCAAAGCTTTTGGTCTTAACCGCATGGATCTTCTCCAACGTGAAGGCCTCTATCCTGTTCCACCACAAGCTCCCAAAACTCTCGGTGTGGAATTTTCTGGTACGATTGAAAGTTTAGGCACAGATATTAAAGAGGGTTTTAGTGTTGGAGATGAGGTTTTTGGCTTGGCGTATGGAGGTGCATATGCGGAATACCTTGCTGTGAGCACGCATATGCTTTTAAAGAAACCGGACCATCTGAGCTGGGAAGAGGCAGCTGGTATACCTGAGGTATGATAATACCCGTTACATCTACACCCATCTAGATATGATTCACGGATTGAGTTGACAAAATCAAAATAGACATGGATAACAGCTACTCAAGCTATGTATCTCGTGGGCGAATTTTCTCAAGGAAAATCCATTCTCTGGCACGCAGGCGCATCATCCGTCTCCATCGCCGGTATTCAACTCGCGAAGAACTCCGGCGCATCAGCTATCTATGTAACAGCAGGATCACAAGAAAAAATCGATTTCTGCGTTAACACATTAGGAGCCACAGCAGGCTTCAACTACAAAACACAAGATTGGGCCAAGGAAATTACCGCCGCTACAGATGGCAAGGGTGTTGATATTATTGTTGATTTCGTAGGAGCAAACTATTTCCAGGGAGATCTGGATGTAGCAGCAAAAGACGCGAGAGTTGTGCTTTTGGGAGTAATGAGTGGTACGAAATTACCAAGTGGTGTTGATATGGGTGCGTTCATATTCAAGAGAGTTAGATTTGAAGGAAGTACGTTGAGGAGTAGAGATGTGGATTATCAGGGCAAATTGAGAGATAAGTTGGAAGAATACCTTCCTAAATTTGAGGATGGTACATTCAAGATTTTTGTGGACAAGGTCTTCCCTTGGGAAAAGGTGGTTGAGGCCCACAAGGAGATGGAGAAAAACACCAGTAAGGGGAAGATCATCTGTACAATTTCTTAGAGGGAATGAAATGCAGTGTATACTAGCGCTCTAACTATTAGGCGATCAAAAACATATTCTATGTATTATTAGTTTTGAGAGTGGAGATGACATCGGTGTACCAAATATAGACCTGTAGACTCATCTGATTATAAGCACATGATATGACTTTTGCACCAGTAGATAGTTCCATTTCTTGAAACGTTAACACATACAATCGTAAGTCGTAAAAATAAGCTTTCTCCCCTTCACATCACATTCTCTGCTCTCGAAATCTCAACCCCTAATACTTACCCCATCCCCACAACATCATAACAACCCCCCCTCCATCTATAACAATACTCGCGCATAACGCAGGTCCAAAAGCCACAGTCCCGAAATACAACCATTCCATTCCCCAGAAGCCTGCTATCACCACATAAGCCCATAAAGTAAGGAAATACAGTTCAGGAGAGGAAAGATTATATGCTGTTATCAAACGGAGCATACCGCTCACAAGAGTGTAGCAGCCGAAGGTGCGGGCAAAGAGGGCGGTTGCTTCGTGAGAAGATGGGGAGGTGGTTTTAGGGGAAGAGGAAGAGGGAATGGTGGAATGTGGGCCAAAAAATAGTTTTCGGGTGGCGGGGAGGGAGAGAAAACATTGGGCGGAGTTGTAGAAACTCATAATGGCGTTCTGTGGGTGTTAGTCTGGGGGTAATGGATGGGGTGGAAGAGTTATTGCTCCCGCTTTTGGAAATTCTTGGATTGTAGAGTTGAGGGTATCAGAACGGAAAAGAAAACTCACGAAGAGTAGCCAGTATGGCAAGATACCTTGCCCTTGTGGAAGATAGAAAGTCATAATACTTTTCAGTGTGATAATAATAGACAGATAGATTGGGTCCGGTTATTCAGTTCCGTGGCGCGAACTGTAGCAGTAAGGGCATTGATGGGATAAAAGACACGGTATATAATCAAAGTTTGTTCTTGACGAGTACAGACTGAGTTGATATTTATATCCAGGGAAACACTGAAACACTTTGTCTTCGCTGTTGCTAGAGCCAGCTGGCCTGTTCCAAATTTCTTTGCCTACTTTTCATAGTAGCTACACTCCACTCACAACAAGGGTTAGTATTAAAGTCTGTTCTAAAACAGCTTGGTTCTTCAAATATGAAAGACGAATAGCTAGTACTGCGTTTGCTTCTACAAAATTAAAAAGCTTTGCAATTAGATTGATCTCTCTGGATAACCATGAATACCTACCTGTTCAGATAATAATATTCCAGCCAGTGAACAGCAGATTGGGGCACAAAACTCAACAAAGATGGCTTTTTCATAATACAACTTTGGGAGGTAAAGTCTGAGTAGCAGCTCCAAGCTGCGATGTATAATCGTGCTGATGCATCACAGGATCAATGCATGTTTCCAACCCCATAGAATTCTCCTTCTCATCAAACACCATGGAGACAGCATGCATCCTTCTCAAAACTTCCTATTTTCAATGTTCATTTCTTTCACATGCAAGGCTTACAGCAATCCGAATTGCAGTACCACGAAGTTTTTAATCCTGGGATTCAATCATTCAAAATGCTAGACTATGTTCATCGCATGCCTTTCGAAATGCCGCACCTGGCATCCAATTAGCTATTCCGTTACTTTGGAAACCTAGTGCATCTGCCATTGTATAGTTTTAAGAACCAACCGCGTTGCTCGACCACCCATGGTTTTGGATACGGCGTATACAGTATTCCGGTTGACAAGCATCACCATTTTCCGGAACAGCAAAGAGAGTTTGATTTTCACACACGAAGACCCTATCATTATCTTTTCCATCATAGACTCGGATATTGATCCAGCCATTCTTCGAAACTTCCGTCTCAATCATGAGTTCACTAAATCAACCTTCAGTATCTTGATAAACAGACCAGCCTTCTCGCAAATTCTCCAAACTCGATAAGCCCATGTTCTGAACGAACCAGTATCCCGCGCAGAATCTAGTTTCCTCATCTTCTCTATTCAAAAACATACAGTAGGATCTGCAATATCACTCCAAACACTCATAACAGAATATATATAAATAAATCATGCCACCCCGCTAAGGTGAAATTATGGTCAAATTTCCCGTGTTGTGTACTCAAGTATCGACGTTTGACTTGATTAGTACTCAGTGAAAGCAAAAATCATGCGGAATGGCTTAGAAAGCGATTGTCTTCATCTGCTCATTACGTCATGCCCAATTTCACAATTGTTCATTCTCTAGGCGAGATTCTTCTCCAGGAGGATCCGACTTCGAGGGCTGAACATAGAGGTTTATAATGCAAAGCAGTGATCTCAGTCCTCTCTTTCTCTCGTTCTGGAGACACTCTGGTATTTTTTCCAGATTTTATCCAGCATTATCAGATTGTTTGTGATGCTCTCTCATATATTGTGATAGTAACATTCACCACTCGCTTCCAGGTCTGGACATGAAGTTGGTAGGAACCAATATCAGAGCTGCCTCAATCCTGGATGGGAACGAAAGTAGAGCTCTACTCAGATGGCCATCACAAATCAGTAGAGGTTCCTGGGAGAATGCATCATCGACGTGTGTTGCAAGATTTTGACAATAAAAATTGTATGCGACAGAGCTGCTGATACTGAATTTCTCCAATTTTTCACAATCTCACATCACTTCTCTCATTCTCTCATTCTCTCATTCTCTCTGTCTGATTGAAGCCATAATTGAAAGAACTCACTGACATAATTCGATTTTTGCGTCTTGGATGAAGCAATGAAAGAAAGTATATTATTGTTATGATTAAGAACTTTCCTGAAGTCTGCTTTGATGTATGAACTTTAAATTTATATTAACCACCACCAGCCCCGCCGGAAACCTGAACTCGGGAGACTTTCAATTACCGCATCGACATTATTGTCTTCTCCAGCCCGAAACCTCTCTCCGTTGGCTCCATTCTTTTACCGTCCAGGTTACTTGAATATCTGAGCAAATGATGAATTCATCTATAGCGCTCAGCACCAGGCTACGCTCATTATCAGTTGTGAATTCCTGAAAGACGCTAGAGTTCTCATACGAACATCGACTGATGAATCAAAAAACTCTAGGATGTGGATAGCCAGCTCCCACATACCATTGCTTCTGCGTACGTCTCTATCATTCAGATTAATTTAGATTACTCGACCATTAAATATATCCACCATAATTATCACCTTGCATTCCGAAATCTGCGTGCTTAACATGTGCCCAAGAAGGTTCCCCATAAAAGACGCCGCCGTGCCTGTTTAAAGGATTTTTTCTCGGAGGCTCAGTCAACAAATCTCGTGTTAGTCTTATTGCACGAGATTCATAGAGGGGCCAAGTCTGCGGCACGGAGTTGTGAGGAGATATTTTAGCCAATCTTCTCGCCTCTTCGGCCAGACTCTGTGGTGTGCCGTCGCGATACTCTAGCTTGCGCTGCAACATCAGAGCGTTATCATCTGACCATGTACAGGAATTTTCATTGTGACCAACGATTGTGTTCCAAGCAGTCAATATATCCCATTCTCTAGGTTGTTTGAGCAAGCCTTTGATTACATTCGTCAATGACCATTCTGATACATCAAGACCTTGCTTTTCGTAGTGCTCGGCAATATGGTCAAGTCTTGCTGTTTGAGGTTAGTAAAAATCGGTTTTCATGAGCCCAAATTGTTTGAAATCCGTATCGTCAACCATGTTAATTCCACACGAACTAAAAAAAGAATTGAAAGAAAAACACTATTGAAGATGGAGATGAACATGTGACTTACCATCCCAAGTGAAAAAGCAACCACCACAGAAGCCGCAGCCCCAAGCCTTTTTTTCCGGCAAATCTTGATGCCATGCTTCCCAACCATTGGATCCTTCCGATAAAGCATGATGTTTCTTCAAATGATCCCTTAACTTGTCCTTCCTGGGATGGCTCCTTTTAGACAAAGGTTTACTCCAGCAATTTTGAAATCGGTGTTCCTTAATTAGATGGCCAATCATCTCATTGCGATTTCCATCAGCATGATTGCATAACATGCAATACCAAATATTATGTGCTTGAAAAGTGGGCTCTTCAGACATACAGTACCACAGTTTCTGTTGCTCGCACTTTGTCTGTTCGTGCCTTTTCCAGTCACCCTTAGCACCTTTACGTTCAAATGATTGCCGGCAGATAGTACAGCTATATCTCAAAAGCTTCTGAGGTACATTTGGTAGTTTCTTAGAATTGAGATTGGTGTTTGATTTGCGTCTCAAGCTTGTAGGTGGTTGAGGGCTAGATTCTAAGCTGTAGTGTTGAGTAGTGAACTCGCTTGTATCGAGATCACCAGCTAATTTGTGTTGAAAATCTGTAATCGAAGCCAAAATTGCTGGTTGTGTGGTCTGATGATACGGGAAACTCTGAGGTGCGTTAGTTGGGCCTGTCTCCTGGGCTTCGTCTACTGAGAAAAGCGTTGATGTAGTGCCCCAAGTACGTCCGGATGATCTGTTTGAAGTGCGCTTACTCTCATAACCTGATGATATCGACGATACTGAATCGGTATCGGAGGATTTCATAGTATCTGAGTGAAGGAGACTATGCTCCGTCGACTGATCGCACCAATTTCCGTGGGGGTGAAAATTCATCAGATCCGTGGAGGAGGGTCCATGCAAATCATAACATGATTGTTCGAGAGGAGACCAATCATCAAAACCGGAAAAAGCTGCATCGAAGTCTTGTATGTTGTTGCCCAATAAAATGGGTGTCGAGTCTGAAAAGTCGAGGTGTGCACGTTTGGAATTGCGGCTTTCAGAACCACACGCGTCAATCTCAGAAAACAGGCCTACTTCTCCAGACGTAATTGTTATATTGGGACCTAAAATCAACTATGAGAAACTTCTTCCGTGCTAGATGAAAAGATATTTTGCTTACGAGTATTCTCTTGAATGGTCCACCAGTGATCTATTTGTTCTTGCTGTAGACCTGTCTCCCTCATTAAAAAGACCATGGAGCTATCCCGAGGCCTGCCCAGGTTATTTGAAGCCCAATTGTTCAACGTATTCTCCTGGTTACCCATCAATGGTAACATATTCATAGCGGCTAGCGTGTTCAGAATCTGAATCGTGTATTCTGTAGTGAGAAATAGCCATATATAAACATTATGCTGGCCCTATATAAGTAAACAATGAGATGCTGGATGACCCGCATCGATTTTGAGCCTAAACTTGTAATTAATCGCCACCGTCTATGTATGTACTTTGAACTAAGTTCCATGCAGCTCGTAGGGCAAAGCGAGAGGGCTGATAGCTGTGTAGTTTCGAAACAATGCGCCCTCTTGAAGAACTCTCCCTGCATAATTATATGCTTGTACGATATCAAGATCGGCAATGATAAGCTGTGATACTGGGGTGTGTGAGTAGCCATTCTGTGTTTTGTCGAGTGCGGCTGTGTCTGAAACGCGATACGTCCCAGAATCATGCAGCGAAAACGGAATCACTCTAGTTGATTCGTTCGTCTTGAAACATGATGCTAGAATGATATGCCTTTGTGGGGTTCATCTTTTGTTTTGAAAATCCATGCCGTCCGATCTAAGGATTACCTTTCTGGCGGGGTATAGCGGTGAGTGCGGCGACAATCTATCAATGGAGCTACAACGACTAGAATTACGACAGCGAAGAGCCATGATTCAAGAGAATGCGGGGTCTGAATTTTTACTCGTCGTTTCAATCAATACAGCCAGATACTCGGTAAGTCCGTAAGTCAACGTCTGACTTCTCTCCGTAGAGAGCTTTCGCCCTGATGCTTGCGCAGTGAAGAATGAAGTGAAGAAGAGTTCGGCGCTAGTTTATTGTTGACTCAAGGAAATACAGCAATATGGAGAGACAATTCTTGCCGTTTTGCCGAGCCAGAAAGAAAATCCGATCTGGATTGGATGGTCAAGTCAAACGGTCAGCAGCGATCTGCTTAAGAGTTGGGGTTACCGTATTTGCTGGAATTGGGACAACCCCACTGCTTTGATGCCCTCAAAATGTGCTTCGATTGAATACATCTAATATGAGCTAACACCGCTTGATGCGATATTATTGTTAGAGTTGTGGTCCCGTCGAAGGTTCGTTGTGTCGTGCATTTCAGATCTGCGACCGTAGCCTTATGGCGGTGCCCCTCTTTCCTTTCGCGGTAGAGGATCTTGGCATGGCACCGGCCATGTAATTATTCTCTAGATGGTATTTTCTACTATCTTGATGCGCGACTGTACTTCCCCTTCTCCGGAGGTCTATCAATTGAAGCGCGATAGCATAATGTTTTTTGTAATATTTTTCGGCATTCTTGATCACATCCGCTGAGTGAGAGTTGTTCTTAATCTTAATAAGAACTATGAGAATCACAGTTATGAAAATAGGTCTTCGGAAGGACTATAAACCCTCACGAGTAGAACTCAATTGAACTTTCCGAAGCATTGTCTAATACTGCCTTTGCCAGGATGCAGAGACACAAGACTCTGAACGATGATTAGCCTATAAATTTCGCAGAACAGTCCCGATGGTTAGTAATTTACTCATGATTTGAGTGGAAGTTCGAGGGCCATATTGCGATATGGACTACGTACTAGGCTACGTACCGGGCCACCAACATGCATGCATAATCGTAAGCCGGAAATAGTCTTCCCCGCACCAAGACTAACCTCTAAATAGGCCCAACAAGATAACACTGTTCGAATATTGATTCGGTTGCTGATCTTGATTGATCAGAGTGATCTTTTATCTTGTTGGTGCCTCATAAGACAAAAGTCATATTACTATATATGTACCCCCAGAAATCATGTTTCCCAAGGACAGAGCAAGGCCTTTCCTCATTATTTCTGGTTTTGCAAAACAGAATCTCCTGGTATGCAAGATGTCCCCAACATACACACTACACGAAGTCACGACTCGCGCCGAATCAGACGCAATTGTCGGTTTAGCTTGGGTTGCCTGGCGCGAACCCTACATATCGTCTTTCCAACTTTTCCATCCAGTACATGGTCCCACAGCTCAAGATCACGAGGCGGCTGTCTTGGCCGACAAGGAGAGAGCATGGAATACTCATTTGGCATACAAGGAGGGTGTTAGCCATTGGATTTATGTGGTCGACCAGAGTAATGGTGCAGTAATCGGTGCTTCTCAGGTAATTTCTCCTCCTATTCATTGATACGCTTATTATGCTGATGTTAGATAAATTTAGTGGCTCATATTTACAGAGACGCCATGGCCCAAAGAGCTCCCCAAGATAGTTGCAACTTGGTGGCCGGAAGGAGAAGGTAGGAATTTCGCAATTGAGTTTGTGAGACAGTGTTATACACCTCGGCAACAATGGATGAATAGACCTCATATAGGTAAGCCGATCTCTCCATAATTTTGCTCTCTATTCTGCGTCGCCTTGTTGGAATTGTCGTAATCCAACCATTCTTGTGTAGCTCTGAATCAAACTTCAGTACATCCAAAGTACAGAGGAAAAGGTATCGGCACACTTCTCATGGACTGGGGCACCAATATGGCAGATAAGTTAGGATTGGAAGGATTCATCGAGGTAAGGACGTTTGTTATTCTCTCTTGCTTCCCGTTATGTCTTAGAAAGCTCCCCAGAACATACTGAGTCCTCTGCGAATCTCAGGCATCAGACAACGGCCGCAGTCTCTATGAAAAACATGGATTCAGAACTCTCATGAAATTGTGAATCAGCCTGAAAAAGAAAAACGCAAGTGGAGAATGGAATAGGCTGCTGCATGAATTGGGATCGTTTCATTTTTATATCAATTGTAGGCCAATTGGTGGAGTATTTGAAGAAGGAAAGCCACAGACACCCTGGCAGGTCGATCAGATGTTGGCGAAGGAGAGCAGAAGTGAGGTAAAATTTCCTGTTATGAAACTCGGCCAATAGGACGGTCAGATCAACCTATCAAGTTTGTTTTCATGAATTCTTAGCAACCATGGAGAAATCTGCCGTTGCTAGTGTTGCACACTTTGCAAACAGAAATTGATGTTTAGCTCTAGGGAATTAGCTAGTACGAGGATAGCTAGCGCGTTATGGACTGGAAATAAGACAATAGCATTGGATCCTACCATCTTGACGCATACGCCACGTGGAATGTGATCTAGAGAATTTCGATCGTGAAGGATATAAGTGCAGTCAAAGAAATTGGCATCTTGGACAACATACTCCAACCCATCGAAGAAGCGATGAATATCCGCCGAAGAAACCTTACGATTGTCAAGCGATGTGACAATCTGCAAATTGGGTCCGTATAAAATAAGGGGCCAGATAGTAGACAGACTGAAGCTGGGCTTGTTTTCTTCCGCACATCCCATCTCATGCTACCCTTTTTAGCAAAAGCTTTCGATACACAATTCGATTGGTGTTCGGGGGTTTGCTGCAACGTATTAAGTAGTGAAATCCCAATCCTTCTCGCTGTATATGTGAGTAGATTTAAACCCCTGGCGCAGATCTACAATCGAGGCGAAGGACGAGGTAGCGACGATCCGCTTTGCTTGAGAGGCAAATTTTCTAAGCAGCTTCCAAAATATCAGTTGTTAGCTCTGTAGTTGGAATGAGAATGGCACACCTATAATCCTGAAACTTCATGACAAATCGAGAAACTGAAGGGACCAATTAAAACATATGAGTAATTGGTTCATGAATACTATATGATGCAGCCTTGACTGACCATCAAACTCTTGGCTTTGACTGACGGTCACCATAACTTGGACGAAACAACCAACTCTCAATCAAGGTGTTGATGAATATGCATTGTCCATTGCAACATTTTATTAAGACTGTCTGGTAGAGGCTTCTATCTCACCGCAGATATCGAGCGAAAGATCAACAGGGTATTATGAGATCAACCATAACCATTCGTTTCGTGCTGAATTGCCATCACCTCTGATATGATAGGAGCGCCTGCTGCTACATAAAGGTTTGATTCTCGATCCGAGGAATCGCATGCAAATCTGTAGGGTTATCCCAGGCTGGGAAGACGAAGAAGAAGTTCCAAATGGCCGTCTTGAATTCGAACATTTGAGACGTCGAGATTAAGTAGACCCCACAAAATAAGCCACCCGCAGTTCTCGTATATAGATGTACAAAAGTATTGATAACAAGCAGTGGATCAATTATGTGTTTGATGAGTCCTTGCTGCCATGGCACGGAAGAATAGAAGCCCACGAAAAGGGAGCGCAGCAAAGATAAGCTCACCGGGTGCCCTCAGCTTAGATCGTCGTGGGGACTTAGGACTGGGTCTCTGTTTTTGGCGAAAAGTCTTGAATCCTAACAAGCAAATTTGAAGGCAGACTACGGGGTAGATCCACTAGCCATATATCTGGGAGCGTTGAGGATTGTTCATTTATTCTGTACTACAGGCTCATCTCCTTGTAACCAATGCTTGACGAAACTCTGCACCAGAAGTCTGGCAAGCTCCGTGTACCTACTCCTTTTTACCGTCCTGTCCACATATTGCCAGGTTTGCAAAATTTATTTCCCCTCATTTCATCAATATCACCAAGCCACTTGATCATCGACAGGAATATATCTATGATAAGATGAAAGTCGGAGGTTATAGATCGGAGTTTCAAATTGACAGCTGTCGATCGAATTCCATTAAGCCCTATGAAACTTGAGAAAATCTTTAGAGGATCGCTGCGGTACACGCTAATTGAATTTAAACTTTCGCATTTACGTATTCGGGGTTCTGGAAGACCCCACAATGGGCTGTTGAAGCTAAGCACTACTCTGAAATCCCCTGTTACACTTCGCTATGCGTTATGCGAGGCGATTTGATTGGTTCAAGATATCCTTAAATTTTCCTTTGCTGTGCCAAGATGTGCTATTTTGATTCTAGATATGGGACGCCAGGAAATGTTGTTGTGTTTCGACATAAGACGGTCTTTTCGAAATGCCAACATAATGTGCGACTGCTATCATGATGGATTCTATGTGTAGCTATATAGATGAGGGGTCTTCTCTCGAGGAAATACATCTTCACAACACATCTTATCATACTATACTATCCATCTGATATCTAATTCCTCATTGTAACTTTCAAATCTTTCTCCACTTCCCCAGATTCATACTTCAATCGCAATAATAACCGCAATCATGGTGACTACAACGACCTTGGAATCATGTGCATACTACTGCTATGTACCAAGCATGGCAGTTGCAGCTATGTTCGCAGCGATTTTTGTCCAGTCAACACTTCTACACACATATCAAATTTCGCGATCAAAGACCAAGTTCTTCATCCCCATTGCAGTTGGAGGTTTACGTAAGTCACTAAATACCCCAGAGTGAAGCTACTGTGCTGACATCTATCAAAGTCGAAGCAATCGGTTATGCATGCCGCTTAATTTCACATTTCGAATCACCAACTTTCTCAGTTATTCCTTTCGGCATTCAATACGCCTGTATTCTCGTATCTCCAACCATCATGGCCGCAGCAGTCTACATGTACTATGAGCATCTCGTCAAGGCCGTCGGCGGCGAATCACAATCTCCAATCTGCCTAAGTAGATTCCAAAAGATCTTCCTCTTCTTCGATTGCTTCTCCGTTATCATCCTCATCGTCGGTTCCATCTTTCGTCTCATGACTAATTTGCCCGTCAGTTGGATCAGACTCGGTAACAGACTTGTCATGATGGGGTTAGGCGAACAATTAGTCTTCCTTGCCGTCTTCGTCTTCACAGCTGCGAAATTCCAATACAACATTTCGCAAAACCCCACAGAGCGCCTTTCTGCAACCGTGGAACCAAAGTCCCCTCGTAATGGTATCCCATACAAGAGGCATCTCGTGGCTATGTACATCGCTTCTGCTCTTATTGCCATTCGATCTTTGATCCGCTTGGTGGAGAACTTGACTGGTACCACTGGACACATTCGAAGTAACGAGGTATTCCTGATTATCTTCGACGGAGCATTGATGCTTAACATGATGTTGCTCTTTCACTATATTCATCCCAGTGAGATCGCTGCATTCGAAACCTTCTACGCCAGTGACGGAGCTGATACTTCCCGTCCTTACTTTGCGGGAATGAAGGTTTGGCAGGGAAAGGGATTGAGTCGGGATGGTATGATGGAGGTCTAGGGAGTGAAAGGGGTAAACTTGAGGAGAGAGTTGGGGGTTTTTTTTGGACATGGATTGGTGAATTTATTTTGGAGTTTGGGTATTACAGACACTGGATCATGGAAGAGGGGGAATTGGAAAGAGAACCTCACAACAATCATTTATAACATGCATCATCATGAATTTCATTTGTTAAAAGGTGGAGAAATAGGCATAGAATAGAAACAATCAACAGAACACACAAAACACAAAACACAAAACACAAAACACAAAACACAAAAATAAAACAAATCTCGATTTTCGATTTTTGATACAATCATTCTCAGACTCGCTTTCAATTCTCACTCTATAACGGTATATATTTCAATCATCTCCAGCCACCTCCTCATATCAATCTCCCCTCAAAGAACTCTTCCAAAAAGCCATTAATCTGATCCTTCGCTTCAAACTGGACCCAACGTCCCGTAGTATCCACCTCCTTTGTAATCAAATCTTTCGCAAAAAACTCCATACGCTTAGATACACTCTCCATCCTCACAATGCTCTTATGAATCTGCCCAATGAAAAGTGCACGGCAAGGAATCTGGGAGTCAAGTTTATCCTCTTTTTTCTCCTGGATACCTAGACCATGTCCATAACGACAACAGTACCAATTTGTCGGGCCACGGAAGCTAGAACCTGAGAATATCTGAGAACGAGTGGAGACATAGAGGGGCGTTTGCCAAGTTGGGGGTGGAGCTTTGTGGTTCTCTTTCAAAGAGGCAAGGAGGGCACCAAGGGGGTAAAATCTCTTGGCAGTATCTTCCTCGGAGCTATGCATGAGGGAGACGAAACTTTCGGACTTGGTTTTATCAGCGTCCGTAATTGTGAACTCCCAAGACCGTGAACTCAAGACAAAAGTAAAGATTGCACTGCACATACATGTTCATCCGTCATTTCCCAAGAATCCTCTTCAAAGAAAAATCGCATATATCCAAACCTTTCTAAACCTAATCCTTGCTCTGTTACTTGTCTTACCAGGTCCAAATCAAAGGGCGTTGCTGGTGGTGCATATGGAGCTGCCAGAAAGGTACTTGAAAGAAATCTGGTAGGATGATAATTGATCACTTGCGATAAGAAAGGCTGCCAAAATCATGGCCTACCGCATCAACTTTCTCAATGTTCTTATGATTGAGTAGTTAGTTCAGCAATATCTGCAGTTATGGCCTTGAAGATTCAAGGCTCTAGCGTGTCAGGTTTATCAGTACCGCCATAGCTTAGTAGGTCGGTTGCAATGATACCATGACCTTTAGAAGCGAACTAGGGGATTTGATAAGGCCAATCATAGGACGTAGACGGAAAGCCATGGAGAGAAAGAATGGTTGACACGAGAGAAACAGCTTGAGCAATGGAAACCTAGGCGTAACTTGTGCCGAAAGGGAGGGTGGTAGTCTTAGAGTTAGAGAGAAATTCTACGGCTGCCATTGTGAGCTTTGGGATCGCACAAGTGATAATTAAATTAGAGAGGAAAAAGAAATCTCAATAGTTAAGGCATGAAGGAGAGATACATGTAGGAAGAAAGTGAGCAGAGACTATGCCGCGCGAACTGTACCCGTTGGAAGCTTTCACGGGAAGATGAGAT